TGCCCACGTGCGAAAGAATGAAATGATGGGTCGTGCTTTCTGCCAGTCCTTGGTCGGCTTTGGAAGGATGCGAGCTGTGGGCAACGGTGCTTGAAGTCGAAGTCCCCATGCATATCGCTGACGTAGGAGGGAAGGTACCGTAGTTACCACTTCAGAGCGAAAAGATGCTGCGGATTCACGGCAAAGCGAAAAGACATCTCCCGAGCAAAAGGTCTTCCGCATCAGTATGGCAAACAGGGACGGACAAATCACATGTGCGCGGGAGGGGAAATGATCCGCGGGGATTACAACCCACGATGACAGAGAAGCCACGGTGCGCTGCAACGATGTCGATGACCAATAAGCACGATCTTGAAGGTTAGCTCGATGAGTGTCCATCAACTGAGTCAAAACCGGCTGCAGATCAACAAGAAGACTGGAACCATGCACATGCCAGCGACGAGCAAGTTTGCGAAGTTGCGTGGTGAAACGTTGATGTAACAAGTCGACATCACCGAAATACTGATCCTTCATTGATGCGGCCATGATTTCCATGTCAATGTCCGCATTGATGCGTGAGAACTCATCAACCATTACTGCATGTCCATGTGCTCGGTGTATATGGTGATCATCGATGTCCAAACAGCAACACGGAAAGGATGTTTCAGGAGTCCATCTGCGCTGCCATGTGCGGTAGTTGTAGATCTTGTCGCCCAACGTGGCACTGCGAGTTTCCACCACCCGGATCTTTGGAAGGAAAAGGGAGGGAAACAAATCACGATGAGAAGCAATCCAGCTTTGTAACCATGTGCCAAGTGCCAAGTAGAGCTTTCCAATTCCGGACATGTAGAGGCGGTAGGAGTAGTTGTGTCAAAGTGGTGGGTGATTGTAGCTGTCGTTTGCGTAACACCTGGGCGAGGAGTTTCTGCGCCTTGGAGCGGAAGGGCTCGTTGACAAAGACGGAGAGCCGCAGAAAGTAGTAAAGCTGAGTAGGAGGGAAAGCTGCCGACAGAAGGTCACGCATGGCTTGGAACGATGCACCTGTATTGGATCCCAGCTGATAGAGAATAGAGTAATGGGCCTGAATGTCATCCAGCATGTCGGGACGTAGTTGCCGTTGAAGATCCGGATGTAGTCGTCGTCGAAAGCGTTTGTGCAAGCCGAGGGAAGTGGGAGACGACAACGAGTGACGTCGAAAATCAACGAGGTGTTCCCGGAAGCCCACCTTTCGCAGAAGTCTGTGTACCCAGGGTGCATTCAAATGCGGGCGTAGCAGGTATTGCCATTTGCTTTCCTGGACCCAAACCGAGGAAACGGGAAGTTTGATCTCAACCGGAACAGCACAGAAGAGCCAGTAAGTATTGGATCGCTTCCAGTAGTGAAGCGCGGGTTCGAAGAAGGCATGACGTCCTCGAAGTAGTTGTAGAAATTTGCGACTGCGTGAGTGTTCACGTCGTAGAACATCCTGATCAGTCGCACCAACGTAGTAAGGTGTGTGCCATGGGGAAAGTCTGATGTAGACGCACGGTTGTTGATGATGACCTGGTTCGTGAATGAAGTCATAGAGGTCCGGAAATCGTGCCCGCAATGAGCGAAGATGTCGCGTGTCGGCAAAAGTGGAGTGCATGATTTCACACAAGAGAGAAGCCTTGTAGAAGTGGAGGACTTCAAAGAACGGCGGAAAGTAGCCATGATCTTGGGAAATGAGACGTTGTAAGAAACTGATCAATAAATAGGCAGTGCACCGACATCTATGAATCTCATACCTGTTGGCCACAGTGTGTTGAGAGTGTGACATAGCGGATTCGGAATCTGAAGGGCAATCCGGACCACAACTAAGACTTCCAGAATGAGGCCCAACCACGGTAGTTGTGTGATAGATTCGTACTCATCAGCTGGTATCGACGGTGGTGGTAGTCCAGGGAAGCAGTATTGCCAGCACGTAGAGAACATGGTCAACGAGTGTAAAAAGTTGTCCAGAGACTGCCATTGTGCAACATCATCATAGATTCCACAGCGGCGAAGCTCATCCAACATGGTGAAAATGCAATCAATGAAATCTACCATAAGGCGGCGACATGGATACAAGCTGCACAGACAATCACGCACAAGGCAATGCAAGCACAACCAAGTACAAGATCAAACTGATGCAACGCAGAAAGATGACGGACGAGTTTTAACCTTGACTCATCCGCGACACGGTTGCCGCTCCGGGCTCACAAGAGAACGAAGGTCGTTGAGATGCTTGCTCATCCGCTGAGTAGGCGAGCGGTCACGATGAGGTGACTCAATGCCTTCTCAGTGAGCTTGGTGAGATAGCCGGGTTCCAGTCCCCACGAAGCCGCCATCGCCCCGAGAGTAGGTGCGTCGCCTTTCGGCATGCGTTGACGCGCTTGAAGGAGCTGCGTCGCATGGAATCTAATGACTTGTTGCCGTTGAGCCGGGACGGGTGATTGGCCCACTTGACCAGTGACGTCAAAGTCGTGGTTGTGGGCGATTGCTTGAGATAAAGGCGTGGCTGGTCACTGGTCCATGTGTAGTACTTGACAACTTCTTCCGGCGTGCTGTGCATGGTGAGCAATTGTGACGCCGCCGGCTTGGACGGCGGTGAAGACACTCCGTGAAGAGACTGAATGATCCGGGGTTGCACCACGCTATCAAACGACTTGCCATCAAGGGCCGCTGCGCTGGCTGTAGGGAGGGAGCTGGCAGGTGACGAGGATGGTGTGTGGTTGACCGGTGGCGGTGTAACCAACTCTGCATCATCTTTCTGGCTTGCCATCGTGGGAGAGGTCGAAGCGCGCAGCGATGCTGAATACTGAGCCTGGAGCAGCTCATGCGCACGATTTAGATCATTGTACTTCTTGACCATGTCATCTGTCTGGGTGGAAGGTGTGAGAGAGGCGTGGTGTTGCTGAAGAAATTGAAGTACCAAGCTGGCCAAATGGTCATGAACCTTGATCCGCTGATTGAAGTCATCGATGTTGAGACCCAGCGAGTTGGCAAGGTCCTTTTCCAGGGTGAGCAGGTTGATCGACTGTGATCGTCGTAGTAGTTTGGAACAGGTACTCCAAAGTAAGGCCTCGGTGCGAGTGCGAAAGCCTTCCCACGTCACGAATCTGCCGTGAGCGAACGGTCG